GACACTGAAATGCAGTTCATCAAATGTAAAAGTTGAATAAACTCCTTAACAGTCCATGATTGTCCTCCATAAGAGTGGTTACCTATATACCATTACAAAAGAAGTACTATAGTATGTACAGTGATGGTGTCATATGGTAATGGTACAAAATCATATTCATGCAACATCTATCTATCTATCTATCTATCTATCTACACTCTAAAAAATGCTGGGTTATTTCAACCCAACTTTGGGTCAAATTTGGACTAACCCAACTTTTGGGTTAAAAATTTTATGTAAAAATGTAACCCAACAGTTGGGTTAGTCAATATTTGACCCAAAGTTGGGTTGAAACAACCCAGCATTTTTTAGAGTGTATCTATCTATCTATCTATCTATCTATCTATCGCATTATTGTGAGGAAAGATCTCTTACTATGGCTACTTCTCATTAATGTTATATATTTCCTTTAAAATGAAGGGGGAAACGCTCAATCTCGTGCCTTATCTTTAAATTCGATCCAGTTTGAAGATAATTTAAAGCTCTTATTCTCTGCTTTCACAAGACTGACCACTTTCTCGATTCTTATTCAATTATTATGAGAGAACGAAATCAATTCTGCGTTGACTATAGAGGCTAGATTTAATTATTCCATTCGAATTAAAACCGCAATTGACGCAAGAAATCACGGCTGTTCAAAACAAATGTCAAAACGCAGCTTAATGCATCGTCACTTTTCTCAAACGAGTCCTTGAGTCCATTTAGAACCACATTGATTGGGTTTTAAGCCAAGACGATCAAATACAGCCCTCGTCGTTTAGTTTGGATAGATTTGAGTGTTTTGACCATTGACATTTTTAATGATTTTAAAATTTCTGACGCACATTTTGTCTCTCTGGAGAGAAGCACAAGCGCAAAGACTGTGAAAAGTTAAAGATAAGGATCTGGTCGTGTTATATGCCGAAATTCATTGGGAGTTCATAGCCATTGCTAATGTTTTCTCGCCTGACAGGAGATGTTAGTTTCTCTTTTCCTCTAGTTAAACTCATGCGATTCAGAAACTAGTATCAGATATACAAAACAGTCCAAAACTATTTCATACATACTGCATATGTATGAGTATAATTGTAAATAATTAGTAAGTAATTTTGGACTAAATGGATTTCGATAAAGCGGTATAATATTGGAATAAATGATTGAATAGTGTGAAGTCTTTCGATATTGTACCCGTAGAAACATAGAAACACCTACAGATGACACTGTGATGCCAAAGGATAGAAAAATAGGCTAAATGCCCATTATTTATAAAAAAAATATCTCATTTCTATAGACACGTGATTATCCAAAGGCTCAAAACACTGCATGTGCATAACTAAACACTCATTAGGTTAGGTTAGATTTATGTTATTTTGCTTTCATATATTTATGAATTATATTAATAGATGCATATTTACATCGACAAATTGCAGTGGAATAAACTGAAATGCACATATTTTACAATCGCATTTGCACGTCGAAATGGAAGCTGTTGCACCAAGATAATTTGTCTGAGCATAAATGGATATGAATAAGTATTAGCACTCAATCTGTGATATGTAAATTTTAAAAGCAATTTCATTCAAATTAAAATGGAAACGCTTTTTGTATTGAACACGATTTATTGCCTCCAAAGCCATAATTTTATCACTTTGGTGACCAGCTGGTTCATAGCTTTACAAAATATGATTTACAGATATGATTTCAGAGAAACGATGTACGTTGTATATATTATATATATATATATTTTTTAAGTTCAATTAAAACTTAATGAAAGCGGATTTTCCTTTTTTATATATATATATATATATATATATTTTCATTGTCAATAATGAACTCTTATACTGCGTCTGATGGTTTTGGGCTCTTTATTCATAAATTGTATTCGTCACATTTAAATGAAGAGATTAATTCTGCCTTAACGAAACTTTTGACCCGATTTAAAGACTCGTTTACACACTGACCGCGAGTTCTTCCGACCAATTGAACACGATTTATTGCCTCCAAAGCCATAATTTTATCACTTTGGTGACCAGCTGGTTCATAGCTTTACAAAATATGATTTACAGATATGATTTCACAGAAACGATGTACGTTGTATATATTATATATATATATATTTTAAGTTCAATTAAAACTTAATGAAAGCGGATTTTCCATTTTTTTTTAATATATATATTTTCATTGTCAATAATGAACTCTTATACTGCGTCTGATGGTTTTGGGCTCTTTATTCATAAATTGTATTCGTCACATTTAAATGAAGAGATTAATTCTGCCTTAACGAAACTTTTGACCCGATTTAAAGACTCGTTTACACACTGACCGCGAGTTCTTCCGACCAGCAAAGTTTTAATTAGTTTTAATTTCAATGAAGAAAAATATTAGTGCTCATAAGAATTCTATAGAAAGATTGCATACGATGATTTTGTTTCTATAGTCTATGTACTTTTGCGAGAGCCAGTAAAATGCACTGTTCAAAGCTGACTGAAGTTCTTGTTTAATTTGATTAATTGCATTCAGTCTTTAGTTGACATATATCGTATTCATACCTTTTTTATTCATCATAAAGATTAATGCTTAGTCACAATTTCTCTTACGTTTTCACCATTTTAATGACCTAGTTAATTTGGAATGGTCCTGCAGTGTGGGGAAAAAAACATGATTTGGTTACAAATATTTTATGTAATGGAATCTCAATTAATATGAGCTAAATAAAAACTGAATGCATGATACAGTTTAGTTTTAGATGGCCCATAGCAAGTCACACAGGCTTCAAACGTATTTCAGGTCAAATACCATTGTGTGCTCGTTCAAAACTTAGAGAGCTCTCCTTTTATTTGTTGTAAGCATAATGTTGTTATATGGATCTTTCAAAATCCATGTGTTTGTATATAATCGTTTTACAAATTCACTTATAAATGCATCTGTAATAATGGCATCCGCACAGCGCCCCTAGCTTCACATTTCTGACCTGCCACTAAACTACATCAATATGATCATATACACTGATGGGATTTTTTTTAAGGGAAAAATGTTTTTTAAGACTGAAATGTACAGTATGCCGCTATGCAGGTCTACAAGAATTTGACATAAGGGTATTATTAATAACTCGTTTCATTAATTCGTTAATTTCTAATTGGGTAACAATATTGTTTTGTTTGGATCAATTTAAAGCAAAATATAGCACGGTTTGAAAACATGACTGCAAACATCATAAATGCGTGGCTCCATTAACCTTTTAAAATCGGTTTGTTTTAATAAACCCTTGCAGGTGCCAGCAATGTGATGAAAACATTGTTTGAATCAAACCATATAATTGATTATCTACATTGCATGAAATCATCTTTTTCAGATGCAGCTTTATGGCGATCTAAGACCCGTGGTCAGTGTAGATAATATATTGAAATTGCTTTGAAATTACTACATCATTGTCTGCTATTTATAAAAAATAATAAAAAAAATACAGCATTAAACCAAAATTGCGTGTTTTGAAAAATTGAGTTTTGAAGCCATCATGAATGTCCACATAATACCGTGCGTCTAGACACGATTCAGTTTGATTTATTGAGGTGATTTATACAGGATATTCTCTGTGTGATAGTCTATTTTGAAAACACGCTGATACACGCTATGTTAGATTGGTCATCTAACATATATCTTTGCGTTTTGAAAACACAAAGATATATGTTAGATGACCAATAGGTGGATCCGCGAGTAACGGATTATCGTTTAATCGTACGAGTTTTATAGTTGTTATTCGGTTTTTTTAATCCCTTGGATGATACCATTTAACTAAATTAAACTTTTAAATGAATAAAAAAAAAATTGTAGGCAACCTAAAAAATAGATAAAGTACATCTGAAGTGGCGCAGTTCAGTGCATGAATGATGACTGGACAACTGGGGCCGGTTTTTTTTTTTTTCCACGTCTGGATAAAGAAATGCTCCTCCCACTAACGCCCACTGTGCGAATACTAATTATGAGTATTGTGTTCATAATAATGGTGGCTGACATGCAGCATTTGCAGACAGGAGCTCGATCTGACGTCTACACTCGTTACATTTTTTGCCAGTTTGCTATAACATCTGACCAACCATTGACTGCTTTGACAAAACATTCATTCATTCATTCATTCGTTCGTTCAGTAATTTATTTATCCATCCATCTATCAGTCCATTCGTTTATTTATTGTTTTATTTATATTTACTTATTTCCGGTTTCAGATCAATAAATTCAAATGTTCAGATTCAAGACAGAACAGGTCAACGAAAACAGGTCATTTATTATTAGTTTTGTTGGGATATGAATAACTAATTAACTAAATATTTATCTATCTATCTATCTATCTATCTATCGTGTTAAAACCTTTTTATTTTAATTTTTGCATTAGGCTACATTTACTTTAATTTTTTTAGTTGGCTATTTATTGTATTTTTACATGGTATTATCATTGAGTATATTACGCAAATATTTCTTTAGTTTTATAACCCAGTAAATATATTTTGTTGTAAATACACTGTAAAAAAAATCAAGAACAATATCAATTTTAAAATAACAGGCAGTCTCTAAAAGAAATGTTGAGGTATTTTGCGGACTCTAAAAAATGCATAGGCTATCTGACGTAAATACTTATCTTGACACTGCACTACAGTTAATCTGATCGGATCTAATCTCCTTTACCGCGCTATACGACAATCAAAATCAAACACTTGAAAAATCGAAGAAATAACTTCGATGTCACATGAAGAGGAATTCAAGAGAATTTACAGAGACGCAATCAAATTGCAAACAGAAATGTAATCAATATAATATATAAAAAATAGCTTTCAAAACATAATAATAATTTGCTATACACCAACCATGAAACAAAATGTTTTTATAGGCTATTAAAATATATATTTATATTGCATTGAAAAGCAGCACCTCATTCAAAAGCGAAGCTCACTATTATCATGTCTAACGAGCATGAATGCGTTTGGTACCTGAGTTTCTGACAGATTGAGCTGTCTGGCGAGCTCCGTGCGCTCGCGTCCGACCACATACTGGCATCGCTGGAACTCGAGCTCCAGCCGGTAGAGCTGCTCCGCCGTGAACGAGGTCCGCGTGCGCTTCGGCCGGTCCAGATCCAGGCCTTTCGGCAGAACAATCTCCCGAATAGTGCCCTTGGCGTCTGTCAAAGCACACACATGCATTACATGATTTACCATTCGTTTTGAAATTAGCCAATTCTCTTGCATTATTAGGAGTGGGAGAAAACCCGGTTTAATATATTGTAACGTATTTAAAAATACGGATGACAATAAAAGTGTGTACATGTATTTTAGATCATTTTTGCATCACAGAAAAAAACTGAATTTGTACATATTGTCAGATAAACAGACTAGAATTTATCTCAGTATAAATATGTGTATTGCTTACGATTTCTAAAGACGTTTGATTATTTATAGTGCCTGTAAGTGATTAGTTTAGTGGCGAAATTGTTAAAAATTTGGCCACTGAGTAGTTTAATCGAGATTAAATTTTGTTTCACATTGCGAAATCTAGTACACAACAAATAAGTTGCCTAAGAGGAGCTTTAAACTCCAATATCCTGTCATTGTACTTGATTGGTATTGAGACCTGCTTAAGTATAAGCAAGCTTTTTTGGTCTATTTGTTGGATCAAATCATGAAAACATATTTACATTACAACATCTGTGTTCATGTTCATCCCAAAGCAGCATAACAAGAAAGTACATGCAGTCACTTGAAGATTATTATTTTTTTGTCAGCATGAAACAATATTATCAACACAGTAATACAACATTGTATTGATATCACGACTGACATGCAACATCAGAAATCATAATATCAGATAATTATGTGATAAATATGGCAATACATTCATACAATATCTGCCACCAAGATATTCTTAGTCTTGGTTAATACATTTTATAAACAAATGTAAGAAATGCTTTGTTGTTAAAATGCTAAATTTTTATTGATCATTATATTTTTGATCTACTGTATACTATTCATTTTCACATCCCTTTCAAATTAAATATCCAAGCGGTTTTGAGTCTTTGTGCATATAAGAAACGCTCACTAAACAGTGCAATAGTATTGATTAATTTGAGAAAGATTTATTCAATGTATAGTAATTGAATTATATACACAATTCTATAGCATTGTCAGTTCTTATTCCACATTTTCCTAGAAACCAAACATAATAAAGATATTATTGACAAATAATAAACAGAAATTAATATATTTGAACTCATTTTAAACTGGCCTATGAAACTGAATAACAGCATACGCTGCAGTTTTAATATAGTGACTTTTTCAAGTTGCCTGATGCCTCACCATCATTAGACCTTAGAAAACATTTATAAAGTAAAGAAATACTAAGACGTATGTGTCAAACCAAAATGTGCACTATTTTAGGGGGAAATGCTTTTGGTCATATTGCAGTGAGTCATATCTGTCAGGTTGTGACTACAAGAAGATACTTAAATGTGGCTTTGCTGATTTTTTTCAGAACTTCAAAAATGGTAACTGTTAAATCATATTAATGTGATATGTTATTAGAATGGGTTTAATTAGCTCTGTGGTAAAGTATTAATATTTAGCATGAGGTTCTGTACATCTATAGCTCTGCCTGTCTGAATGTCTGCCTGGCAACCAAGCTCAGTGTCTTATGATCACACTTAATATCACAATAAGATTAATGGTATTTGTTGATGTAAAGAGGTATAGAATGTTAATGGCGAACACTTCTTTAATTGCTTTTTCCTCGCTGTTTCAAATCACCGCGAGCCTATGACACAGACCTGCTGACCTTTCAGTGACCCCGGTTCTCACGAGGACTCGGGCGCATTCAATCGTCAGCTTTAAAAACAAATAGTGACACCAGGGATTGTGGGCTTACTGCGCCAAAACCACTCGGATCCCCTACAGCTCGTCCAGTCATAACCCAAATACTAGTTCGGCTTTTCACTGCCACTATTGCAGGACTCAATGCTCGCACAGTTTGTGTGCATTGAATTTCATAAACCATAAAGGGCATTTAAATGAAAAGCCTGGGTATTTTAGAGCATGTTAAATATTATAATTAAACAAGTATTTTCCTGTCGTATATATTACAACAACATAAAACTCACAAAATAGTTATATTGGAAATATATAAATGCTTTGAATAGTATCATAAGCATTGCTATGCAGATACTAATTCGGCCAAAAATTGTCATTTTAAAATGTCAAATTCGTCACAGTTACATGGTGCAAACAATTCAGATGATAGTCAAATATTTAGTGCATTGATATTTATGTAGGCCTATTATTATAGACATATTAATGTCGTTTTTATTTTCAATTTTTGGCTACATTTTGGTTCTTGTTTCTAAAAGCTGAAATGGGAACACGAAAAATATGCATAGTAAACGTGAATTGTAACTTACATTTTTTATTTATCAGGAGGTGAATGGCTTACACCTCCTGAACGCAAATAGCCTATAATATCACTTTACCAGAAATCATTTTACAACCACATATTCCCTAAATTACAACTTTTAAAAATGGTAGTTGTATGGACCTTATTGTTATTTTTATTATTATTTTTACTTTTTGTTCTAACAGTTATTCCTTTTTCTCAATTTTATAATGTGTTTCGAAAGACTTTACCTCTGTAAATAAAGGGTGTTCTGCCAAAGAAATATATAATATGCATTGTGTTTAAAAACAAAAAACAAAAAACTAACCTACATTTAGAAGTGGGCTACGTATTTAGATATTTTTCATAAATTTAAAGAACCGCTTTCGATTATGCGTAATGTTTGCATGTTTATGTCGTTGTTTAACCTTTTTTGGCTCTCAAACACTAACATTTAATGATACACACAAAATAAGCTCAATACTCATGTTTGATGGTTGCAGTTTGTATGACATTAAATAGGCCTATAATCCCTTTCATAAATTGCAAACAATATAATAAGACACCTCTCGAAAACAGTTATATTTTTTATTTATATATATATATATATATATATTTATTTTTTTTTTATTTTATTTTTTTTTTTAGCAAGGGTGCATTAAATTGAACTAAATGACTAAATGACAGTATGGTATTTATAATGTTACAAAATATTTATTTCAGGTCAATGCTGTTTCTTTTGTAGTTTATTCATTTTCCAAAAACATTTTCCACAAAAAAACAACAACAAACCTTAAGCAGCACAACTCTTACCAACATTACTACTACTACTACTACTACTACTACTAATAATAATGTTTCTTGAGCATCAAATCAATGATTTCTAAATTATCATGTGACACTGAAGACTGGATCAATGATGCTGAAAATTCAGCTTTGATCACAGAATTAAATTCCATTTTAAAATATACTCAAATAGAAAGCACTGTAATAATATTTCACAATTTTAAAGATTTTTTACTGTATTTTTGATCAAATAAATCCAGCCTTGGTGAGCGAAATATAGTTTGTTTATAAACAATACAAAAATCTTTCAGACCCCAAACTTTTGGACTGTACTGTATATTGAGAGATAGACAAAAAAAAAGACATTAACAGATGTGTAGGTCATACAATTTATTTAAAGGCATAGTTCACCAAAAAAAAAAAATTCACCTGTACTGCATGTCTCCTATATGACTTTCTTTTTTCATTGGAACACAGATGGAGATGTTTTCTGAATGTCTAGGCTGTCCTGTTCAATATAATGAAACTGAATGAGGTCTGGGGCTGTCAAGCTCCAAAAATGACAATATTTAGGTAACGCTTTGTGTAAGATTCAGGCAAATTTTGTTATTCACTAAAAGGATCGTCTTCTGCCATAGCTCCCAAAATATAATTTCGGTATATTTCTCTCACAGAGCCATCGTAAGGCTTCGGAAGACACATAGAAGAATTGCAAGAGTCATATTAACACCTTTTTATTGTTGAAGCATAAAAATGATGGTCACCATCTACTTTCATTGTATGGAAAAATGCAGTGTGAACATTCTGCCATAACTTTGTATTCAGCTTCAAAAAGAGTGTCATAGAGATTTGGAATGTCATTGGGTTGGGTAAATGATGACAGAATTTTAATTTTGCATCAGTTGTTCTATTAATATCTCAGTTTTTGTCTCCTAGACAGCAATGAGGTTAAATGGAGAACTAAAGTCAATATGTCAAACTGTGGTCAGGTTTTGTCAAATGTCAGAGTTCTCATTATGATCTCAATCGTATCTCATCTAAGACTAAATGATATGATCTATGACATCCACGTTTGATTTTATAGCTCTAAACTCTTGCTGCATGTCTGCAATTATCTCATTTGCGTCAAATGTTGTTTCTCCAGAGAAACTATAGAGAAAAACATCTGAGACATAGTTGATACTTCTATAAAATAACTGAGGAAAGAGGAAACTGAAAGAGCATTTGACATGGTCAGAATAACACAGACTGTCCAACTGTTAGCAGAAGAGTCTGTGCCTCAGACACTGCGGCAATCTCTCTCTCTCTCTCTCTCTCTCTAATCAATTTTCTCATTCAATATATGCAGAATATATGTACACATTGTATATAATTTTATTTTTTTTTTATTTTATTTTTTTTATATATATATATATAAATTGCAACTATGATGTTTTAAATATTTGTAAAGTTTCATATATTGATGTTTTTTTTTAAATGTGCATCATTTTAGGATTTTGTGATGGCCTATTGGGAGCTTATACCTACAATTTTGTGCATACATTTTTGTATTAATGTTTGTCATAAATTGTCAGTTGTAAATATTGTGAACTAATCTCAGATATTTGTGTTGTGCATATTATAATAATCACGACCACTATAAGAACAAAATACACTAAACGAAACAGAAAATTTCGTGTAAAATGAAAGGGAGTCTGTTTGAGATATTGGAAAAATATTTTAGTTTTTTATTAAATGCCAATAAAATGAAGTGAGTCTGTTTGTGACATTAGTAAAAATTTTAAACCAATTAGTTAATGATTCAGTAGCCTACTAAGTGTTCATTTTTAACTCCAGCACATTTACGATGAATATTCGCTCACTCACCTCTAACCAGAATCCTTCGGCAATAGTCCGGATCGACTCCTAAAAGTTTATCGTGTCCATCCTCGCTAGATGAAGTCGGTGTGGACGCCGAAGTCCCCGGTGTGTCGGTAGAACTCTGCACAGGTGACCGGTTCCGAACTTCCGTCCAGCTTTTGGAGTCTCTGCCGCGGTCACGGCACAACGAATTGGATTCACGGTGGTTTCGGTCTTCGGCGATTCCATCGCCCATACTCGTGGCTTGATCAAACATCTAATAATTTAACTGTTTTGTGTGTTCACTTAGTTTTCTTGAGCTGTAATAGTCAGCGTAAGTTCTTTTCTGTCAGAAATAGGGAGATTATTCCCAGCAAAACATCAAATTAGAATCCAGCCACAGACTCCAGCAACGGAACCGAGTTTCTGCCCAAATATTTTAGCATGTTCCGGCATCGAGAGTCCATGCAGGAGGAGATGTATAAAGAAGGGAAGGAAGGTTGAGGTGGAGGGGGCCCTGTGGGCAAGTGGAAGGACCCTCCTCAGCTATAGGATCGCGCTCAACCCAAAATGCGTTTTGCATAAATGCGCTGGGTTTCATGGTCTATGACCGAGGCACTGGGAGGCGCTTCACTGCTTAACCACGTATAAGTAATTCCACACAACCAACATGGATCCGAGCAGCGCAAACTTTGCCTTGTATAGTCGATTTACTCGTTGTCTACACTGGGTGTGTTTTTGTATCTGCCCTGGGCTCTACGGAAGCTCTGGAGAAAGAGCCAACTGATTTCAGGATTTCTTCGGGAGGAGGGGGAGGTCACTTTTTACGCGGGACCAATTCAAGAGTATCCTATAATAGACAATAAAATACAAATGTGTGGGCATAATGTGGGTGTGATTAGAATATTTTGAACACAATCTGAAGGCTGCAGCAGTCATACTAACATATAATTTCCAGAGTAGAGTATGTATTTGTTACGTTGACTGACAGCAGCGACGTCACTTCCGGACTGTAATCCATCAATCCATTGGTAAACAGAAACGAGTAAAAGCACGAGGTGGTTTCAACGCCCTTTAGCGTTCAGCGAAGTAAGCGATCCCCGTTGTCTTTAGACGTTGTATTTGTTGCGCTCGGTAAGTGGAATTACAGTTAGGCTATGTCACCTTTTTAGCCTATATCAAAGAAACCGCGTTTAGTTTCTTAAGTTGCGCTTTCGTAATAACGGCCAAGGCGAATGTGAACGGATGCGTTGTGATTAAAAAGTAAGCGCCCAAAACTATTAAAACACGGAACGATTATTTTATAGTTTTAAAAGTCTTTTTAACTAAATCTAAAAGTAGAGGAAACAACTAGGGGTGTAGGCTATGTTTATTTTGCAGAGATAAGCGTAGATGAATAAACTATTATAATTACAATAATTAATATATATTACTATAATCGCTTTCAAACTAAACACAATGTTAAGAAAAATATTTTTATATCATGACGTTTGCCCATAAATAGTACGCCAAATAAAAACGAAAACTCGTGGTATTGATACGCAAAAATGGACTTTGGCGTGCATATGCGTATTATATGCACGCCAACAAATTTCGTATCATATGCACGCGAAAACTGCGTATTATATGCACGAAACCGTAAAACCTAAAACGTTGCTACCGTATTTTGTACGGTAAAATTCCGGCAACCACAGCTGCCGGTTCTCTACCGTAAATTTTACGGATTTTTTTTACAGTGTATGCACGTGAAAACTGCGTATTATATGCACGCCAAACACATGCGTATCATATGCACGCCAAAGTCCATTTTTGCGTATCAATACCACGAGTTTTCGTTTTTATTTGGCGTACTATTTATACGCATTTTCATGAGACCGGGCTCATTTCCCCTATTGCTTTGACACCGTTGTTTAATACCTTACGTTTTTTAGACTCAGTATTGACAAATGCTCAGCAAACTTCAGCACAACCTTTGAATTTGCTTCCACAATTGTTAGATGGGAAAGGGGTTCGGTTTGTAAGATGTAGGCTATTGTACACATTCTGTGCGTTATTGTGTAAATATGAACAAGAGGTTTATTTGTGTTTACCTCACGGTGCACGAACCGCAGGTGTTCATCTCATCATTGAACCGCTGCCATAATACACAACAACAAAATTAGAATCTTTTATCTGAGCGCGCAATCCCATTACGGAGGCCGCAATGACATAATTGCAGTTTTGCCACTTTCAGCAGTGTTTATCATTCAGTGCCGAAATGGCTCATTATTGAATTCAGCTGCTCAGCACAGATTAAACCGTGAACGGGATGAATGGAGCTGTCAGTCACTTCCTCAAACCAACAGTACAGTCAAGAGAGGTTTAATTGCCTCCACTGCTCTCTGGCCCCACAGTCTCACACACGGGCCCTTTCCTCCAACACACAAATATTGCAAAACAGCAGATAGCCTATACCATAAACACAGATAAATGCACAAACGGACCATTCCCCCTCGGTTTTTAGCCGACTAAACCCAGAACATCACGTAAATCAAAAAATAAATTCAGATTTAATTTGAACAAATGTTCAGTTACACATATAGTAGCCTATGTTTTTACTGTAGCCGATAACTGTCATGAAGACAGAATATAGATTTATTAATTTTGTCTTTCACACAAAAAATCCAGTAGCCTATCATATTCTTGTAATAGGTGTTAAGTAATCAACAAAATTAACCAAAATGTTGAACTGAGTTCTTGAGAGTACAGCTAAAAGTTTATTAATTTGTATATTAATTTATTTATTAACAGTCAATGCTTTAAAATTTGTGTCTTCAGAAATGGACTTTCAAAAATAAAATCACCAGAGTGTAAAAAGTGGAACTGGCCCTGGTCTCCCGTTCTAGCTTCTAATAAAAGTTCTGAAAAGTTAGTTGGATCTTTTACAAGACATGTTTTGTCAAGTAAAATCAAATGAGGCTTATATGATTCAAGTCATAAATATCGTTTAACCTGGGTACATTAAGTTACAGTGCATCTAATTTCTTTTTTAGGGTCAAATCAAGACGTAACAGTAGTTCTTATAAGAACTATATCACTCTTAAAAATAAAGGTGCTTCACGATGCCATAGAAGAACCTTTTTTTCTAAATGGTTCCATAAAGAACCTTTAACATCTGAAGAACCTTTCTGTTTCACAAAAGGTTCTTTGTGGCGAAAGAAGGTTCTTCAGATTATAAAAAGGTAAGAAAGAGATGGTTCTTTAAAGAACCTTTGACTGAATGGTTCTTTGTGGCTCAGGCATAGAGACAATACTCTGCCCGGAGGAGATCCTGACAATGAACCTTAACGTGCTGATTTGGGCTCGCTATTAAATATGGAGCGCACTTTATCATTAGATAGAACACGAGAGAGAAGACAATGCAATCTTTATGCAGATAGACTAGGCTAAAAAATTAATTGCAGTAACCTTAAATGAATTTTGTGTTGGTTACAGAAAATTAAACTACCCTAAAACTACCCGCAAGATATGGATGAGGAATGCATGATGCATTTACATTTTTCATTTCATAAATGATATACATTATGTAAATATATGATGCTATTTCAGAATGATTTGAAAGTAAGATCGAAATGAAGTTAAAGTTTCTTCAGAAATAGCATAAGGTTTTGAACTACCTTTATAGCCTACTTTAAAATGAAATGAAATCTCACCAGTCAGATCACAATCACAAGTAATAGGTTTTTCTAGTTTCACCTTTTCTCATGAGTATTAAATCTGCAGGACAATGCATGAGTGGACATTAATACATTTGTATAGTCATAATTTTCTTGATTATCACGCATGATCAAACTTGTGGTTTTATTGTACATTCATCAATTATTGTATATACAGCAACCAGAAGTCCAACCCTTTATATTCCTGAAACTGTGAATAGGTTGATTATTTTAGCGTACACTGACCACTAGTGGCTGTTCAGTGCACTGATTTACAATTGCTTTACGACACACAAATTATTATAAAAAGCATTTTGAAAAAAGAAGTGAATTTTATTTGCTTGAAAGTAAAAAAAAAAATACAGTAAGAGACAGAAACAAGCCGTCAACCGTTAAAATTAGTCTGGTAGAAATTATTTTGAATTTCCGTTTGAAAGGACACATGAACTTTTACAGAGATCCAGAGACCTCATAAAAGCAGTTATATGGAGTTAAGAATAGACATACAATACTATGCTGGAATAAGGCTGCCAACATTCAACGTGTAATGGCTCGATTTACATGCTGGCATCAATCAAATAAACTAACAATGTACATGATTTCAGGCACTTTGGCTTGACAAAACAGACCAATGTTACACACAAAAGATGAATGAACAGCCCTTAAAGTGATGATCTCATTAGAAATCTATCAGGGCAGACAAAATCTACAACATTTGCTGGATCTAAATGATTTTGAGTAAATTACTATCGAATTCAGAAGATGAATCAAAACATTCAAACTTTAAAGCCAAGATGCCAACAGAGTTCATGGTGAAACATGTAAGATTGATTTTGTGGTCAGCAGTGCCTCCTACTGGTACAAATACAAGAGGCTGATTCACAGTGAGCATAGCATCACTCATAGGATTAGTTTAAAACCCTTAGAATCACATCAGATTTCTTTCACCTGGGTAGTATCATATTCATATGTTTACACTATTTTAATTTTGGATTTTGGAAGTCTCTTATGCTCATCAAGGCTGTATTTATTTGATCAGAGAGACAGTAAAATTAGTAATATTGTGAAATATTATTACAATTTAAAAGAACTAAATAAAAACTTAAAAAGAACAGCATTTATTTATTTATAGCATCAGTCCAAAAGCACTTAATTAAAATGCGACCATCCATTAAAAAAAAGTGTCTCACACGGCTCCGGGGGGTGAACAAAGGCCTTCTGTAGCGAATCGATGCATTTTTGTAAGAAAAATATCCATATTTGCCTTCTGGTCGGCGCTACAGAGCACTGACCACCAGAACAGTCAGGCACAAGAACAGTTTTTTCCCACAGGCTATATTCAGCCTGAACAATTAATCTTTCATAATTATACATCGTCCATCACAACTAACATAGTTATCTGACATATTTATATTAAACTGCACACTTAATATAAATAACATATCTGCACACTAATAAACATATCTGTACATTTATCTAAACAATTACATTTTTTCCTATACTTCTATTTCTGTATATAGTGCATTATCAAATTTTTTATTTTTATCTTTTATTTATTTGTTATATTAGTGTTATATTACATCCCTACTGTGTTATTCCTATGTATGTCTGCACTATGTTTGTAGTTTCTTCTACACTGGAAGCTCCTGTCGTCAAGTCAAATTCCTTGTGTGTGTAAACATACTTGGTAGGTAAGCTCTTCTGATTCTGATTCTGATATAAGCCAAGAGGAGACTGATTTTCCTTTGCTAAAGTAAGGAAACTTTGCTTCCTTTGCTCCTGTTAACAAACGTTGGTTTTCACGAGACTCACTGGCGCATGCGCAAAAACGCATCGATTCGCTACAGAAGGCCTTTGTTCACCCCCCGGAGCCAAGTGAGACCCTTTTTTTTATGGATGGGCGCATTTTATTTAAGTGCTTTTGGACTGATGCATGCAACACCCGCTGAGTGCCATGAAACAGCTTGAAAGATAAAAGACTATTTTAATATAACCCCTACTGGATTCGTCTGAAAGAAGAAAGTCATATACACCTAGGATGACTTGAGGGTAAGTAATTTATGGGCTAATTTTCATTTTTGTGTGAACTAACCCTTAAATTCATTTTCTTGCCATGCTGGGACCTTCAAGGTCTTCCCAATCGTGACATACTGTGCAGCTCAATTCACCATTATATCCTTTCAAGATATCAGTGGCATTCAAAAAACTCATACATTGAGGTACTTTTGATCTTAATAAGTGGAGTGGAATAGGTTTAACAGGCCACTGCTCTGAATCTGAATGTAAGCAGTTGTGACAGGCTGGATCAAACTCAGCTGAACTACGGCTATTGTGCAGATCAATCAGAGTCAGACACCTGATATATTTGCATCCTTAGTTGCACATATTCTTTCAGGGTTTCTCAAATTTTTTTGTAAAGGACTCCGTTCATAGACTTTGTGTTTGACTGTTGGTTGGACAACCACCTATAATAAAACACTGTGAATCAAGTATTCCTGTCTCGGTCAACTTCACCAGTTTTATATTTGAATCTGTCTACATCAATAATCTATATCACATTTATACTTAGTCAATAGAAAAAAAAGCTACTTAACGATAAAAATAAACAAACTGTAAGTTACCCTTACTATGTACATTAAAAATATATAAATGGCTTAACATCACATTTGATTTTTCTGTAAAACACTGTCAAATTTATGGTTTTGGAAGTAGAAACTACCAATTACCACTTTATTTTTGTATTTTTTATTCTTATTTTATTTATTTATTTATTTTCTGAAACCGTATTAGAACATTCCCTGCATGATGCATCACATTTGATAATATTTTATTTAAATATATTTTTCTTATTTTTGTAGTTAGGATTAGTTTACATTATGGTGTTTTCTTTTTTGTTACATTTTCTATGATATACTGTATATATATATATATATATATTTTGGAGCGCTTTCCGATTATGCATTTATTCGTCATTTTAACTGTTTGGAAACAGACCGTAAATGTGGAAGTCCTTCAAAGATTTCTTGTTTTTTGGTCCTGTTGCACCCTCTATAGGACCAGCGACTAGTCGACGTCAAGCTTAAAGCGTCATGGCAGAGCATTGAAGTCGACTAGTCGATTAGTCGGTGCAACCCCTAGAGACAACAGGGGATGGACTTTTTCACTGGAGGAAGTGTTATTATGGATTATAGACTCGTATTTTAGTATAAAATGACATTTAGTTAAAAATGTCTTGATAGGTTTGTTTTCACTTTTCACTTCTCCAGATGTTAACTGATGGACTGGAGTGGAGTGGATCAAAGATTTCTTGTTTTTTGGTCCTGTTGCACCCTCTATAGGACCAGCGACTAGTCGACGTCAAGCTTAAAGCGTCATGGCAGAGCATTGAAGTCGACTAGTCGATTAGTCGGTGCAACCCCTAGAGACAACAGGGGATGGACTTTTTCACTGGAGGAA